CGGTACTTGGAAAGTTTGGCGATAAAAGGGTTAATGATGCTGGCAAGCTTATACTGGCGGCGTGCAAGGAAAAGGGTCTTCTTGTGACAAACACTATGTTTAATCACAAGAAAATCCATATGTATACTAGAGAACGAAAGAATGAGAGAAGTATGATCGATTTGTTCCTGGTGGATGACCGACTGTGAAAACAGGTGATGGATACGCGAGTGTTCAGGGGTGCTGACCTGGGAACGGATCACTATCTAGTGATTACTAGATTTAGGGGTTTGTTCGCGGGTTGGCGCTACCGGACGGCAGTAACAGAACCACAGTCGGTCTGCCGCATCCGAAGCTGGAAGCTTCAGGAAGCGGATACTAGGGACAAATATCATGCGAGGGTAGCTGAAAAATTTGACACCATCGATGACAGAAAAGAATGTGTAGAAAGAACATGGCAGAACCTTAGGGATGGAATGGTAAGTGCAGCGGAAGAAGTGTGTGGAACAATAAAAAGAGGCAGTAGTAAAAGAAGAGATGCATGGTGGAATGATGAAGTGAAAGAAGCTGTAAAGAAGAAGAAGAAAGCATGGTTAGACTACTTGGCCTCTAGTAATGATAAGGATATGAGAGAGAAGATGAAAGAAAGATATAGGCTGCAGAAAGTTCACACGAAAGCACTGATTGAGGAATTGCGTGAAAGGTGTAGAATGGAAGCGGACGAAAGGTTGTCGCACAACTTTAAGGAGAATTCCAAACTCTTCTGGAAAAAGGTTGGAAGGACCCGAAGTGGTGCGACGGCCTTAAGAATGAACAAAGTGCTTTCGAGAACTAATGACGTCCTCTCAGAAAAATCGGACGTCATGCAGCGATGGAGCGAATTTTATAGAGAAAATATATGCGTGTGATGATCTTAGTGAGGGATCCGGGAATGACGCCGTGACTGGTACGCCAGACCCGGACCTCGATGACACTGAGGTCATCAGTATGAAAGAGATTGAACGTGCGATTCGACGTTTGAAATGTGGTAAGGCTGCGGGACTAGACAGAGTTACTGCTGAAATGGTCAAGTATGGTGGGCCTCGGCCGCGTCTGGGACAGCTTCCATCTGCTGTGCAATTTGTGCTGGCGGACGGGGGATGTCCCGGATGATTGGCGATCCGCAGTCATAGTGCCTTTATATAAAGGTAAAGGTTCACATTTTGACTGCGGGTGCTATCGGGCGATTAGCTTGACCAGTTTAGCAATTAAAGTTTACTCGAAGGTTTTGACACGTAGGATGCACGAGAAATCGGAAAGATTTCTATGGGAGGCACAATGCGGATTTAGACCTGGAAGAGGTTGCACGGATCAAATGTTTTCTCTCCGCATGATCACGGAAAAGCTTCTGGCTGCTAACCAGAAGATTTTCTGTGCTTTTGTGGATCTTGAGAAAGCATTTGATAAGGTTGTAAGGAAGAAAATGTGGGAACTGTTGCCGGGGTATGGTGTGGATGGTCGATTGCTAAGGGCTGTGCAGTCTCTTTACTGTGACTGTAAAGCCTGTGTGCGGGTAGGGCATGACCTGTCACCCATGTTTAACGTCCAAACGGGCGTAAAGCAGGGTTGTGTCATGTCTTCCTGGCTGTTCATACTGTATCTCGACAGCTGTTTACAGAAGCTGAAAGATAGCTGTTTGGGTGTGAAATTGGGTGACATAAAAGTAAATTGTCTGCTGTATGCTGATGATGCAGTGCTTATTGCACCATCAGAGGCAGAACTGCAGGCATTAGTCACGTGTATGAAAGAGGAATGTGAAATTAAAGGTCTCCGTTTGAATGCTAATAAAACTAAGGTTCTGGTATTTGCAAGGGACGAAGAGAGAACGAAGTGTGAAATATGGGTAAATCAGGAATGTCTAGAACAGGTAAATGAAATTGTATACTTGGGGAGTGCTTTTAGCCGGGATGGAAGATGTGATTTAGATGCAGACAGGCGTGTCGCTGCCGGGAACAAAGTCAATGGTGCCCTGACTGCGTTAGTCAAAAGGCAAGGCGTAGCGAAGAGTGCACGCCTTGCAATACATAACGCAATGTTGGTACCGACTTTGTTATATGGCAGCGAAACCTGGGTATGCCAGAAGAAGCATAAAAGTAAGTTGAATGCAGTGGAGATGCGATCTCTTCGTAAAATGTGCGGCGTTACTATGGCCGACCGAAAGCGAAACGAAGAGATTCGCAATATGGCAGGTTTGAAAGATGACCTTATCACAAAAATTGATAAGGGCGTGCTTCGGTGGTTTGGGCACGTTGAGCGAATGAGTGAAGACCGAATGGTGAAGAAAATATATAGCGCGAAAGTTAATATTAAAAGGTGTCGAGGTAGACCGAGACTAACTTTCGAAGACCATGTGAGCAAATTGCTCGAAGAGGGAAGGGTCAAGAGTACTCGGATACCTAGACGTGCATGCATGAAGAAGATAATGAATCTGAAAGAAGCGAAAGAGGTTTGTAAGGATCGTGACACTTGGCGATCTGTTCTCTCTGGCTACCCCGTCAGGGATTGTGCGTGAAGATAAGTAAAGTAAAGTAGAAATAGTTTGGTGGCTCGGCGGCAAACTTTGAGTTGTTTTCATTTTCCATCCATCCAGTGTCAAGTACAAAATAAATGTGTGTTCAAACTTTTCACGCTAATGTAAATACCCGTGTTGCACTTAGCCGACTTCAAGCTGCTTGCGTATTTAAAGCAATTTCAACCACTACCCCATATCCCCCCGTGGGTATCATGTGAGACGATGGAGGGAAACTAAAACAGGTGATAGGCAGCATCATCCTAATAACAACTCAAAATAATTAAAAAAAACTGCGGTTGGTAGACGGCCTGCCAACCGTGGTAACTGTGGCAAAATGCCTCTTATGAGTCAATCTATGATGAGGCCTATGTTCAGCAGTGGACTTTAATAGGAAGATAAGTTGGCTACTTGCACACACAGAATATATACCGACTGAAGTGCGGTCACGCAAGCGAAGTTTATCGCTTTATCGCAATAAAATCCTTTGATGTGTGAGAGTTATCAACAGCTGGGCGAAGTATTTTCTTCGGCTACACACATCGCGTTAACTCGAATCTTAGCGTTATCACGATGAGCGTTGCTTAAGCGTTATTATATTATTATATTATTTTGAACTGCTATCAGGGACACCCATGGGATAATATGTGGTAGTGGCTTCTTCCAATTCCTCTAATTCTCTCCGCCGCTATACCACGTTGAATTTAATTATTGTTTATTTGTTACATAAATATGACGGTAATTTATTACGAATATTGTCATACATAAAACATACTTACTTCTCTGTATCTGTTGCAATTCCTTTTAATATTTTAGATAAACGCTCAAAACCTTAGCTATTACAGGTTTACTAATCAATAAAACAATTATCCGATATTGTTAAAATTTTATTCAAATAACTTCTTACACTAACATCAAAAATATTTTACATACTACTTTACACGGTTTCCTAATATTATTTTATAATTATAAACTGTTATCTTTTCCTTATCATGTTTATGAAATTTTAAACAGTCCTCGACTGGACATCGCCCGCTTCCATAGTAGGAATAATTTTCCAAAATGGCTACATTTGGGATCTTGTATTTTTTTAACCTGCCGTTTACCTGTCTGAGTATTTCACATCTAGATATACAAGATGGTTCTGCCTTTGCATAACTTATCTGTTTTCTGAGACAAAGGATTTGTCTGCGGCATTGTGAGCCTCAGTTTCCAATCCTACAGGAAAATTATTTATAGGCCATACAAATAGTTATTTCGTACACGAAATAATTATTGGTATGGCCTATAAATAATTTTCCGGGGTCCGAGTGTTTCCCCATGTGCTCTTTAACGCGGCACGGAGTAAACCCCATATTATGTATTCGAAATATTTCCACGAAATAGGAGACATTTCTAAAGTAACAGAAACTTAAAAAATCTTCGCTCACCCTTGAATCACAGATGAACTATCCTATTATAATAGACAACATTTTGTTATTGATTTCTTAATGTTCTTTTTACATTTATTATTTAGCACAAATTACACATCTATTATTATTTAATTTCCTTGCCATAATTAATTTATTATTTTCATGAGTTTTGAAACACATAAACATGATGTCGTAAAAAATAATAGATACCGGGAATAAATACCACGGAATATTAAAAACAAGGATCGTACGCACTAGATTAGAAATTTGACTAGACTATTTCAAAGTGACTAGAAAAGTTTCTGTGATTTATATATACAAGATAAATAATCTACTATATTATTGCACATAACACAGTTTATTAAACCAGATACACTTACCATTTATAGATTACGTCGAAAGCTCTATATTTATTTCACGTTGTTTCTTGTATTTTTCGCAGACTGTGGCACAATTTTAATTATTTTTATTTAATGACTTATATCTTTATACTTATGATACTAGTTGATATTTAATCGCAAATTATGATTTTTTATTATAAAATGTTACTTATTTTAAATAGTTCCATTTGCAAATATACTTGGGGCGGATTACAACAAAGAAATAACGACATTTAAGAACAAGTTGTTTATACTCTCAATAAATCCAAAATCATTTAGAAATATAACTGAATAGGTATGTTCTATTTAGTCTAGGACTCTACCTGTTTATTAATTTACAATATTATGTTCATTTGAATTTCCCTAATTTCTTTTTATATTAGAAGAAATAACCATTAATTTTGTTTTGAAAAATGCGTTGCACGAACAAAGGACTAATACGAGTATCTACAAAATATCTACCAGTACCGAAACTGTTTTTTTTAAATTAATATACCTTTACATACATTAAAGTTATTTACAGCTATATATATATATATATATATATATATATATATATATATATACATATATATATATATATACACACATATTATATATATATATATATATATATATATATATATATATATATATAAATGGATACTATTATTAAATTAGTCTAATTGAAACGTTTTAGTTTTACGTCGCGCCATTGCCGTAGTGTTGTGCATAGTTAGTTTCGCCGACTATGTCGATATCGCTATCGCTGTGCTCGGTGTCAGAGTCCGATGTCTGTGTTGTCGATATTCTAGAGTCCTCTGCCTGTAACTGAAAATCAAGAATTATATTCAAGTTTAATTAAAGTATATTATTTTAATTTTAAACTATAATTACGAAGATAAATCATGTAGTCTGCATTGCACAGCATAGTGAATAGTGCAATATAGAACAGATGAGCAGTGCTGAGCTTCATACATTCATACCGCCACCTATAGGGGTACCAGACGTACTGCAGGTCAACATCCACAGTTGGTTGCAATTCCAAATATTCGCGCTAAGCGCTATAAATCATCTTTTATAATGCGCACAGCCAAGGATTTGAATGCCCTTCCGGCGTCTGTTTTACCGAGTGCGTACAACCTGAACCTCTTCTCTTCTTCTTCTTCTCTGTTAACAGGCTTCTCCTGGGTAATCTCGCTCCATCGTAGACCACATCTTTACCCTCGGGCCAGATGGACGTCAAGAGTGAACAGTGAACCCATTTTTGATAAAAAAATGCTATATATCAATATTAAGAGCTTTATTTAGCCATGCTATGCCGTCTATTTTGTAAGGGTGTCCTAAGGAAAACCCAAGAGAGTTCCTAATATCTACACTGGTTATGGACAGCAACGTCTGGGGCTGCGATCGCTAATTCGCATACCAAGTGTGAAACTTAAGGCAAACCTCATCACGACCAGAGAGGCTAGTGTCCAGCTGTGTACTTATACGGGCTGATAAAGTAAGTAAAAATTAGTAGAAAATAAAAGAATAACAAACTTTATTAGCAGGCCGTAAGGAAGTGTAAGGGCACAAGGAGGAATATAATAGCATTTTCTTAACCTTACTTAAATTGTGCTGAAAAATCGATTCAAAAACGTTAAACTGTATTTAATAGTCTTCGAATAGGAAACAGTACTGCTAGTGCGAGGGTACCGGTCATGCAAACAGCCTCCCAACTGCCAAGCGTGTTTCTTATGGGCATGGTAACTACCCAGAAGGTCTTCTTTTAAAATAACTACCTCCTTCATTCTTGATAGTCTCATTGGTGTTGGTGGGCTTTGAAAATGTGTTTCCAAATCGGAATTAGAGTCGGGACAAAAATCAGCGATCGAAACGGTGTTTCAGTCCCGCGCCCTAGAATTCATGTTTTAAGTCGATGGCCTGATCTCTCTCCGATCGAGTTCTATTACCGTCAAAGTATGAGAGCGAAAGAAGAGATAGTGCAGCTAGGCGTTCGCAGGCACTTGTGCCCTACAATCCTGACCTGCGCAGAATTCTAATCTCTGTTGCGAATGGTTGCCGTGACCAAAACTCGGTTAAGAGTACATAATAAGAAACTCTTGTCAAGTGATACATTTCTTGCAAAGACTTCCAGAGCTAACACTGACCTATGACAGCTCAGGGGCTACGCGATTTAAGTAAATTTCATAGTACGCGAGTAACCCAGTCTCGATCCCCATAAGCAACAAGCTTGGCGTGCTCAGCAGAGCGGGACAGTATTTCATGCCGGCACACCGCCTGCTACTTTACAAGGCGCAAGTTCGGCCTCACATGGAATACTGTTCCCATCTCTGGGCAGGGGCTCCCCAGTGCCAGCTCCTTCCACTTGACCGCATCCAACGCAGAGCGGCTCGAATTGTCGACGACCGAGCCCTTTCCGATCGGCTCGATTCATTGGCACTGCGAAGAGATGTTGCATCCCTTTGCATTTTCTTTCGCATCTACCATGGGGAGTGCTCTGAGGAATTGTTCGGATTAATCCCAGCCGCCAAATTTCACGAACGCACATCGCGGCAGAACTCCCGATACCATCCACACCATCTGGATGATTGGCGGTCCACCACTGTGCGATTTAGAAGATGTTTTCTTCCTCGCACGACCTCCTTGTGGAATCGATTACCATCAGCGATTTTTCCGGACCGATACGACTTAGGGACCTTCAAGAAAAGAGCGTACTCCTTTTTAAAAGGCCGGCAACGCATCTGCGATTCCCCTGGTGTTGCAGTTGTTCATGGGCGGCGGTAGTCACTTACCATCAGGTGAGCCGCATGCTCGTTTGCCCCCTCTCCTATAAAAAAAAAAAGTAGTAAATTGTAATTTTAAGTGCTGATTCACCACGTGCTCGGCGGTGAAGAAAAACATCATGAGGACACCTGCTTGTCTGTTGAATAATAATTTTTGAGGACATTTTAACTTCACCCACATGCATAGAGGTAGAGTGGCGAACTCTTCCCAACGTAAAAGACCTTCTCAGAAAAGGGAAGAGTTGTGTGCCCAGCAGTGGGTATATAAGGTGTAACTTTAAATTTTTTATGTTTACTAGACTTATTTATGATCACTTTTTCACAGTTAAGTACCTTTCGATTCTCGTTAGATTGTGGATGATGTTTTGTGGTGAAGTCTACAGCTGCTGTACCTGCAATGAAATAAAAACAATTTTTTTAATTTCCATTAGTTACCCTTGGGTTTGTTGTCGTTTTCCTTGTTGTATAATATCAATACATTGTAGTATTAACTTTAAAAATGAAAAAAAAAATTAAGGCCTCAGGAGTTTCTTTCGACGTTTCTTCTCCGGTCGAAGAAAGCTCATTTCAAAGCACTGGTAGATTTAGTTGATTTAAAAATATTGCATTCTAAAAACGAAATTTATGTTCTTACGCCGAAGGAACAGATATTATATTATATTTCATTACATTTCATCATTAAATTTGATATTAGATTTTTCGAAACTCGTTCAAGTTTAAAAAGCGTGTATATATTCTTCCTCTTTGTGTTGTTTATTTTTAGTGTTACATTTTTAGTAGTCCCGTGTAGTGGCGGGTAAGAATACTCACTACCCCATATCTTCCCGTGGGTATCGTAAGAGGCGACAGAGGGAAACTGAGGCAGAGGATGGGCAGCAGCATCTTCCTGATAACAGAAAAAAGCCAATAAAAAAACTGCGGTTGCCAACCCGCTCGCCAAGCGTGGCAACTATGGCAATATACCCCCCATGAAAGTAACGAAGAGACGACCCCCAGTCCCCGGCGGCCCCGCTATTCCTGGCTACGGTGGCGACCATGGTAACGGCGGGGCAGGGGGTGCTGAGAATCTCCGGTGGACGTTCGGTTGCCACCTACGACGACTCGACCTGGCAACTTATAACGCACACACCCTGAGGACTGACGAGAAGATTCTGGAGATGGAAGAAGAGATAGACAAGTTGCGCTGAAATATCATAGGATTATCCGAGGTCCAACGTATCAATCTTTACAACAACGTTGTAAAGATTGATAGTGTGTCGACGAGGGTTGCGTACCTTATACTCAGAATCACCAAACGGTATGCGCTGAAGGTCATCCAGGTTGACGCACCAACTTCGGCACATCCCGATGAGGAGGTGGAGGAAATGTATGAGGATATCTCTAGAGCCATGCATTCCTCCAAAACCCACTATACGGTGTTAATGGGAGACTTCAACGCAAAACTAGGTACAAGAGAAAACGGTGAGCTGAAAGTAGGGAAATTCGGAATAGGGCAACGGAACCCAAGGAGCCAGCAACTGGCCAACTTCATGGAGAAAGAGGGACTCTTTATGATGAACTCTTTCTTCCAGAAGCGGCCCCATAGGAAGTGGACCTGGTCGAGCCCCGACGGTTCGACAAAAAATGAGATTGACTTCATTATGACGATCAGACGACAACTGTTCAGTGATGCCTCAGGGACCGCGAGGGTGAAAACCGGCAGCGATCACCGAATGGTGAGAGGCACACTGAACCTAAACGTTAAGTTGGACAGGTCTCGTCTAATGAAGTCAACGCTCCGTCCCCCTCGTGCTCTAATCCAAAGTCCCCAAACATTTCAGCTCAAGCTACGAAATCGTTTTCAGTGCCTAGAAGATTGCAATGCAGTGGACGAAATGAATGACAAGCTCGTGGAAACTGTCCATGCGGTCAGAGCTAAGTTTTGCAAGACCCGCCGCAGAAGAACACAAAAACTCTCCGATCACACTCTTAATCTCATGGCTGTTAGACGGGATATGAAGCTGCAGTCTTCAATAGATTTGACAGCATACAGGCAACTGAACAGACAGATCTTACGCAACTTTTATACTGCTCGTATTGAAGAAGCGATCGAGCGGAACCAGGGCTCCAATATCTTTGCTAGAGATCTGTCTGCCAGAAAGAGTCAACTGTCGAAGCTGAAGACCGAGTGAGGCAGCGTTGTTTCCGGGACACCTGAGATCTTGAGTGAGATTGAGAGGTTCTATGGGCAGCTGTACACATCATTGTTGGAGCCACACGCAAGTGTGAGTAACGATCCAAGAGCGAGTCGTATTAACAAGTAGTATTAACATCAATGGCGAGTACATCACTCACCTTCGATTTGCCGACGATATAGTCCATATGGCAGAATCGCTGGAGGACCTAAGCACTATGCTCAATGATCTTAATAGTTTTTCCCAACGGATAGGTCTTAAGATGAACATGGACAAAACAAAGATTATGTTCAATGTTCATGTCATACCTATGCCGGTAATTGTTGGGAGCACTAAGCTCGAAGTTGTTGACGAGTATGTTTACCTGGGACAAATAGCCCGACTAGGTAAGTCCAACTTCGACCGAGAGGTCAATCGACGGATTCAACTCGGTTGGGCAGCGTTTGGGAAATCACGGCACATCTTCTCGTCAGGTATACCTCAAAACTTGAAAATGAAACTGTACACTCAGTGCGTGTTGCCAGTGATGACCTATGGAACTGAGACGTGGTCCTTCACTGCTGGCCGGATGAGGAAGCTCAAGATCGCTCAGCGAGCTATACAATACAATACAATAACTTTATTTCAGGCATCAAGGACTTAAAAATTAAGAACATTGGCCCATAGCAATATATACCTTAACCTAAAAATATATATAAAATATAGACATATACACTATTAGGGAACTTTTTTCTTTGGTGCGTTCCTGTATCGGCGAAACACTACCCCAGAGGGCCAGAAATCGGGAGCGAGGAATGTCTCTTTATGTTTTGCAGGAACCTGGAGTACGTAGGATTTGAAGTTCGTTGACCTATTAGACTCCAGACGCTGCAAATGTAAAGAGATCGGATCCTCAATGTGGCATCGGCTTCGTTCTTCCACGAAGCGCAGGACGTCTTCTCCCGACGTACTTTTGTCCAAACGGGAGATGTAGAGTTGTATGGTAGGCTCCACAGCACGCAAAGTTGTACTCGCGTTTATTTTCGCGGTCCCACGCTGGTTACAGACGGGTCGCGACCGACGTCTCTTCTCAACAAGAGTAAACCCGTCCTTATCAATCTTGTCTTGGGTCACTACTGGAACTGATTTTATTTCCACATTCTTCCGCTTTCGACCACAAGAGGGTGCCGGTTGTAAAGATTTTCGGGCAACATCCGCAAACGTCTTCCCTTGTTTTGAGGTTGGCTTCGGCGGAGGAGCACCAATGGGTTCAGTCAAGGGTTGAGGTGGTGATGCAATGACGACCGAGGTCGCCCTAGTTTCTCGGTCATCAACCCGCTGACAGACGGTAACGCGTGACGGAGTCGCAATCATCGGTGAAATATGACTACTATTACGGTTACCGCGTGTCGTATTCACATTCTGCGACGGCGGTGAATTTGCAGATGTTGCAATTATGTTGCGCAACATATTGACTTCGTTCCTCAGCTCTGTTGCGGCTCGTTCTGATTCCTCAAATTTGGAACGGATATCGGTAATATCGGCTCTCAACGTGATGATGTCTTTCAACAATCTGGTGACGTCTACGTGATCGAACGTCACGGGAGGCAGCTTGTTGAGATCACGCGCGACGAAAGTTGGGATGTCATCAGGGTCGGTCTCATTGAATAGCCTGAAGATGTCTTGCAGGTCTTTCTTACCGCGTCCATCCCTGTGACGTGTGATAAGACGGATTTGGGTCACGGCTGAATCTGCTAACACCTTCTTCGCTTGGATGATCTCGTCCTCGGTGAAGCTTGTCATCAGTATCTGCTCCAGAGACACCTGGTCCATGACGTCCAATTTTTGTTGAACAAAGGCCAGCAACTCGTGGATTACGACGGTTTCGGAACGTTTAGGTTGACACGCCATTTCGAGTTATTTTTGCGCAGTAGGTATGCTTACGCTACAAAAATACTGTAAGTTCGGCATTAGAGCCGTCACGTCATTATGAAGCGACTGCACTAACCGGTAGTAAAATTGCGACTGACTGCTATGGAGAGAGCTATGCTCGGAGTTTCTCTACGTGATAAACTTAGAAATGAGGATATCCGCAGTAGAATCCGAGTGAGTAACATAGCCCAACGGATTAGCTGAAGCGGCAATGGGCCGGCCATATAGCTCGAAGAACCGACAACCGATGGGGAAAAAAGGTTCTCAAGTGGCGGCCTTGTACCGGCGGACTAATTGTAGGGCGTCCCCCCACTAGATGGAGTGACGACCTGGTAAGATATGCAGGAAGTCGATGGATGATGGTGGCTCAGGACCGTGCTTTGTGGCATTCCTTGGGGGAGGCCTATGTTCAGCAGTGGACTTGTGAAGGGCTGTAATGATGATGATGATTATTTTTAGTATATATTTAACGCACCCTAAGAGTTAACAACATTTTTCTAAATTATTAACTTATCTTTATTGATATTTTTATCGCATGTCGCGTATAAACTACGCAAGTAAATCGATCATTCTATAGCTTCCCAGGCTAGGCGAAGCAAATTATTTTATAGGATGTACGTATGGAACCAATAAATTATGTCATATGTAATCTTTAGTGCCTATTGAAGTCTACTGGTGAACATAGACCTCCCCCTTAGATTGCCTCATAGGGGTCTATTTGCCATAGTTGCCACGCTGGGCAAGCGAGTTGTAAAGTTTAATTTTTTATTTTAAGTCTTTATTAGGATTCTTCCATCTGCTGCTGCTCATCTTCTGATTTGTTCTCCTCTGTTGCCTCTTACGACAACCACGGGATGATATGGGGTAGTGGATATGCCTACACCGCCACTACACGGTATCATATGTAATGTATAATATATTATTAACTATTCATAATAGAGCTTGAAAAGAAAACAATGCATTAGAAGAATTATTTTATATGAAATAAATTCATAGTAGGTGTTTTATACTTGTTACATTGACTGAATGTTATGTATTATCACGAAATCTTATAAACTATGCAAGGACTTCAGTCTTCCCCCAATATAAGAAGCGACACCCCATCTTTATTACTCAAAGGCAAGACAGCACATATTTATAATGTTAACTCTTATCACAAGCTATTAGAGCGGAATATTGCTAGAGCATAATTCCAAAAAGTTCGTTGCCATAGGAACGAAGACGTCAGCCATCTTGTCGACAAAATCAAATTACGCGCAACGTCTTGAGTTGTGGCGCGAAAGCGGCGATTTGAAATTCAATTTTCC